CACACACACACAGTGTCTCTCACAAACACACAGTGTCTCTCACACAAACACACAGTATCTCTCACACACACACACAGTGTCTCTCACAAACACACGGTGTCTCTCACAAACACACACAGTGTCTCTCACAGACACACACACAGTGTCTCTCACACACACACACAGTCTCTCACAAACACACACACAGTGTCTCTCACACACACACAGTGTCTCTCACACACACACAGTGTCTCTCACAGACACACACACAGCGTCTCTCTCACACACACAGTGTCTCTCACAAACACACACACACACTGCCCCCTTCAGGCCCAAGGCCCGGATGCCACCCTGCGCCCTCCCCCCTCCGCCACCAGCCCCAGGACTGAACCGGGCCTCCCAACCCCAAGCAGCAAGGAGAGGAGGCGGGGAGACGAGAGGGAGGGAGGTGGATGGCGGTGAAGACGTCAAGTAACACCTAGAGAGCTGCTGCGTCCTGAGCGCTCACGACGTGCTAGGTGCTGCCTTGCGCTGACCCGGATTTTCTCATTTAGTCCTCACAGCTGTAGGGTAACTGAGGCACAGAGCCAAAGAGAGAGAGAAAGAAAGGAGGGGAGAGAGGAGAGGAGGAGAGGCTTGGATTCCGGGCTGCGAGGGGGGGACAGCAGCGCCCAGGACTCACCTGCCGAGGCCAGAAGCAGCAGGGCGGCTAAGATCCCGAGGCCGACCCCACCCAGGGCCGGGGGGCATCTGGGAACCACCATGGCAGGTGAGGCTGGGGCACGGCCAGGCGGCGGACAGTCTTCAGGGACCCGAGGGCTGTACCTGGAGGCAGAAGTGGAGTGCACAGACTTCCCCGCAGGCCAGCCACATCAGGCTTTATCCTGGGAAGCGGAATGTGGTCGGACCAGTCCCCCCAGTGGCTCAGTCCTTGCCACCCCGGCTGTGGGTCACCGGAGGGGGTGGGGCTGCGGGGAGGAAATGAGCCGTTACCGGCCTGGGGGCTCCAGCTTTGGCGTTAGAGGCTCTGGCTCCCACGGGGGTCCAGGACTTGGCCTCCAGAGGGGCAGGCCTAGGGTCCTGGACCCGGTACCTGTGCTGTGGACTTGACATTGACTGTGGTGGGGGGAGTGGAGAGAAGGGACCCCACAGTGTTGAAAGGCAGGGGTCCAGGTGGGGAGGGGCTCAGACCTGGGTGCTTGTCTGCAGTGGCTGAAATCTGGGCTTGGGGTGTTGGTGGAACCCCAGGCCCTTTGGGTGACGGGACTGGTGGGGGGGTGCCAGAGGGCACAGTAACGGCTCCTGCCTCCAGGGACCCCCACTGTGACTCAGGGAGCCCAGCCACCTGGGGCCCAGGAATCCCGTTAGCCCACTTCCTGGAAGGCTGACTCAAGCTCCAGGTGGGAGGCACTCATCCTGTCCCAGCAGCACCTTCCCAGAAGGCAGAGAGCTACCTTCCTTTTGTGTCCCTGGGGCGGGGCTCAGCAAAGGTATCCTTCTCCTGGACTCCCCAGCCAGCCTCAGGTGCCCGAGTGGCCGTCACGATGAGAGCCGGCAGGGAAGGGCTGGGGTCTGCGACCAGGAACCCCCTTCCCAGCCATCCATCCGGGGGTAGCTTCATCCTGGGGGTCCTTGGTGAGAAGCACAAGCCCCCACCCCCGCCGCTCTGCAGCCAGCTCCTCAGGTCCACCTGGGGGTGCACGGAAGCCACTCGGGTGGTTCCCTGGCAGAGCGTACCCTCCGGGATCCCGGGGTCACCCTGCGGTGCTGAATCCTCCAGACTCACCACCGAACTCTTGCGACACCCCCACCCCAAGTGGGAGCTGACTTCCTCCTCCTCCGGGACAGACCTGGGAACTTTTGTCCATTTACTTAATCAACAGCCCCCCATGCGGGGCCCCTGGTGCCGCGGGATGAATAATAATAACAGTAACACCAGTGACAGCAGCAGTTTAGTGAGTGGTTGGTATGCTCCAGGCGGCAGCTCATTTAATCCCTTTATTATTATTCCCACTCTGCAGATGAGAAAACTGAGGCTTCGGGAAGCCAAGGGCCTTGCCCGGGCTCACTCGGCCAGAGTGGTGGAGTGCAGATGGGAACCCGGATTCTGGAGACACTCTAGACTCGGGGAAGCCCTCAGGGCCACAGTCCCGTGGGGAAGGAAGAGGAAAAAACTGGTGGTTACACAGGGTCATAAGTGTGGGGGTGAGGGCTTCTGGACCCCAGCGGAGGCACCTGACTTCGACTGGGGGGTCAGGAGGGCTGCCCAGAAAAGGAGGCATCAACATAGGCCTGGAAGGCAAGGTGAGCGGAGCTGGGGGAGGGTGACCTGGATGCAGTCTGAGAGAAGAACCAGGCAGGGGCTGGGAGGTGGCCACAGCCGCCCATCTGAGGCTGGAGCGCAGAGACCGGGCTCTGGGGCTGCTGCAGCCTGGCCTTGCCTCCGTGGGTCAAGTTCACTGGCCAGGCCCCTCTGGGCAGGCCCAACTGCCTCGCAGAGTTCAAGCCCATCTCCATCAAGACCTGTTCCCCCCAGAGCTGTTCAGAGCCTGCCCTGGGGGTGGACCCCTGCAGCCCACCTCCTCACTGTTAGGGGTTAGCGTCTTTGGTAGGACTGGGCTGGCACACGCTGGAGCCCACCTCTCCAGCAGACCTTGCCAGGGAATTGTCACGATCAGAAAGGATCAGTGGGTGGCAGGAGCCCTATGGTGCAACGGTCAAGCTCCCAGCTGCTAAGTGAAAGGTTGGTGGTTCCAACCCACCAGCTGCCCCTCAGGAGGAAGACCTGGAGATCTACTCCCATAAAGATCACAGCCTAGAAAACCCTGCGGGGCAGTTCCACTCCGTCACGTGGGGTTGCTGTGAGTGGGAGTCGCTGTGGGCACACAGCCACAGCAGGCGGACTCATGGCTAAACTGCAGACAACACGGACCCTCGGCTCTGTGGAGAGCCCCATTGCTCAGCCCCCACCAAAGCGAGGCCCAGCATGGGGGCTCAGGAACTCTGAGCAGCCCCCCGCCCCCACCTGGTGCTGGGCTGGGGGTGGAGGGGCCTGCATGAAAACACAGCACAGAAAGGCAAAGAGGGGGTGGTCTCATGGGCGCCTAGCAGCAGCGCTCCCCTCCTCACTGGCTCCCTCTCCTGGGGTCTGTCTCTGTACCCCAAGTCCCCCAGCCTCCCCCAACCCACTCCCTTCCTGAAACCAAGGCAGCTGGCCTTCCCAGCTCACTCGACAAGCAGGTATTGGGTGCCTGCTGTATGCCAGGGCCTGTGGGGGTGCTGGGAAACACAATGATGAATAAGACTCAGGTCCAACTGTCAGGAAGCACATGTCCGCACAGGGATGGAGGCCAGTGAGCAAACCCTGACAGGTGTAGAGGAGGTGGGCGGGGGCCCTGGGACCCGGGAGGGGTGTCACGGGAGGCGGAGGTGTGGGCAGGGACCCTGGGAGCCACCCTGACATTGCTGAGCCTGCTGGGCTCCTAGGAGAGAAGGGTGAGTTGGGGGCTAGTCTGGTGCCTGGTGCACATTGCGTCTCCACCGATGTTCGTTGAATGAATAAATGAGCGTGAAGGAGGGGAGTCTGGAGGATCCCAGCCTCCTCCCTCTCCTCTCCGCTTCCCTGCCTCCTCTCCATTCCTGCTTTCCCTACTTTTCCTAGGTCCCAGCCCACTGCCTGGATGCCCCCGACACACTGTTACCCCAGGATGGGTGGCTGGGAAGGGGGTTCTGTGGAGAAGGGCCTGAAGGAGTCAGAGGAAGTTCCTGGAAGTAGGCGGGAAGTGGCTTCCTGCCACAAGTCCACCCTGGCATGATTCAACATTTGTTCACCAAAACATCAAGTGCCTACTGTATGCCAGACCCACACTGGGCATCCTGGCCGGGCATCTCCTTACCTGGGTAAGAGCTGGATGAGCCACTCATCCCTGCTGCCCACTCCACAGCTTCCCTGCCAGCCCATCTCAGAGACACTAATTAATTTATACTAAGGTGTCGATGACTGATAGGGCTGCAGTGGCATTTACATGTTAAAAGCAGCTGGGGCTGGAAAGGCTTAACCCAATGAAATGAGTCACCAATGGTGGTGTCAGGGATTGAATTGTGTTCTCCAAAAATATGTGTCAACTTGATTAGGCCATGATTCCCAGTATTGAATGGTTGTCCTCCATTTTGTGATGGTAATTTTATGTTAAAGAGGATTAGGGTGGGATTGTAATACTCTTACTAAGGTCAAATCCCTGATCCAATGTAAAGGGAGTATCACTGGGGTGTGGCCTGCACCACCTGTTATCTCTCAAAAGAAAAAGGAAAGGGAAGCCAGCAGAGAGGGGGACCTCATACCACCAGGAAAGCAGTGCCAGGAGCAGAGCATGTCCTTTGGACCCAGGGTCCCTGCGTGGAGAAGCCCCTTGACCAGGGGAAGTTTGATGAGAAGGCCAACAGAGAGAGAAAGCCTTCCCCTGGAGCTGAAGTCCTGAATGTGGACTTTTCGCCTACTTTACTGCGAGCAAATAAACTTCTCTTTGCTAAAGCCATCCGCTTGTGGTATGTCTGTTAGCGCAGGACTAGATGACTGAGACAGGTGGTATCTCAGACGTGGCTGCGGGAGTCGGGGGAGATCATGTGGACAGCAGCCTCCACTTGTCCTCCATCCCACACCTGTAGAGCGCCTACGAGGTGCCAGAGGCTGTGCTGAGCCCTGGGGCAATCAAAGAGAACAGGAAAACAGGGCCCTGTCCCTGCCCTCATGAACTCAGCCAACAGCTGTTTATTGAGCACCTACTGTGTGCCAGGTGGTGTTGGAAGAGCTGGGAAATAAAGCTATGAACAGATCGGAAAGAATCCCTGCCCTCCTCAAGCTGACACTAGATGAAACGGATATCAGCAAAACAAATACATGAATGGCAGTGTGTTGTTTGTTGCTGTCGGGTGGATTCCGACTCATGGTGACCTCCTGTGTGCAGAGTAGAACTGTGCTCCACAGGGTTTTCAAGGCTGTGATCTTTCAGAAGGAGACCACCAGGACTGTCTTCTGAGGCACCTGTGGTGGATTAGAGCTGCCAACCTTCTAGTTAGTAGTTGAGAGCTTAACCATTTGCGCCACCCAGGGATTCCCCTGACTTGGCATAAAACCCATTAACCCATAGCTGCAGAGTCGATTCTGACTCAAAGCAATCCTATAGGACAGGGTAGAACTGTCCCAAAGGGTTTCCAAGGCTGTAATCTTTATGGAAGCAGACTGCCATATCGTTCTCCCATGGAATGGCTGGTGGGTTCGAACCACCAAACTTTCGGTTAGCGGCAGGTGCTTTAACCACTGCGCCACCAGGACTTGTGCCTTAGCGTGATAGATGGTAAAGTGGATGGGAAAGCTAGAGCAGGGACAGGTTGTGGGGCAAGGGGATTGGAGTGGGAGGGGTGGGGGTTGGGGGCTGCAATCTGAAATGAGGAGCCCAGGGAGCTTGTCACCGACAGGGTGACTGTGGGAGATGAGGGACAGCTGTGTGGCTGCCAGGGAGACGGACACAGCCCCAGGGACACCAGGCTGGAGGTGGGGTGGGGCCAGCAGGGCCAGGGTCAGTGGGGCAGGGAGGGTAGCCAATGGATGAGGCCAAGTGGGGGCCCGGCTGAACACTGGAAGGTGTCCGCTTTACTGAGAGGCCGAGGGGGCCCCGAGGGGTTTGCTGAGCGACACAGATGCAGCTATTTTATCAGGGTCACTGGCTGCGGCGTTAGGAATGGCGCAGGAGAGAGACAACAGATGTGGATGAGGGTG